AAGGGTAGCGATGGTATTGTAACCTGCACTCGTAAGAACGGTAGGAATTGCAACAAATATGGGCATACGGAGAGGACATAAGAGTGCTTGCTCAAAATCTGAACCTCCTTTTCACGGAGGTACACTTAGTGTATGGTTTTCACCGATACAAGATGCGGAAATGGCTGATGGAGTACCACAGGGTTAACATCTATATGGACAGTTAATCTGGAACATTTTTCATAGTCGTTCGCTGTAGCAATTTCTTCCTCATCAGTGATGACACAATCGATCTTTCAATTTCAGCAGAGAGGCTGCCTTCCCATAGTTAAAGCTAAGTCTACATCATTCGATGTCAGTGCAGCATGGAACCGCCAGTACAACGGTTTTACACTATATTTATCTAACCTCCAGTGATTCGATCATTCTAGCACGGAGTGATGATCATTACTGACGTTAACCGGTTTTTACTTTCGATTGACATTAACTGAGGAATTGTTCAGAATGGGTTGCCATTATTACAATAATCTTAATATCAGAACTGGTATATTTTCATACCAGTGATTCAGCGCATCACTTTGCCAAGACAAGATTTCACGGCGTACCGCACCGTGTCCTTGTTTCAAGTTGTCTACGGAAGAGGCAATAGCAAGACACGACTCCACGATATTTGAGCCCTTGCAGTGGAAGATGCCTCTCACGTCATTTTGTTCGTTCAAGCCACATGCAGCTCATTACAAACCATATTTCAGAAGTCAGTATTCCCTATATGCTATCACATAAACATCCCAATAACCACGTACGACGGGAATTTGTTACGCAGACCATAGCTCCTCTTAGAGCAGATTTAATGGTTTATAATACTGTTACATCACTAGTATACCTAAGCTACTCTAATGCAGCTGGAAAAACATAAAACAAGTACCAGCTCCTGCAAATGATAAGAGGTGCAACTATGTACTGCATGTACTGAAATGCCATAAAACCACGGTCTCTTTAGAAAGCATTCAATTCATCTATGAGTAACTATACTGTGTCAACATGTCCCACAACCAATTCTAGTGGTTCGCTTAACCCCAACCGCTGGAGTTAGGAATTGTCAACAGCACCCACAGGATCTTTTTCTAGAAAAGAAAACATTAAGGAAGCACAGACGCTTTAGAAAACCTGTCTGTACAGCAGTTTATTTACCCATACAAAAGGGCGAATGTAGGGCAGAAAGGTAATAGCCATCTTTACCCCTCATCCAAAAGCTAGCCCGTTGGTGATGATAATATTTTTCATTAATTAGAACTGCAAGAAAGACTTGCGACGTTTTGCCTCCAGATGTTTCCGCGCCAATTTATACATAAATGGTACAGTAGCATTTTCGACCGTTGGCATGATTCTTTAAGATTTAAGCATTTAACTTACCGTTGTTAAAAAATAATCCAGGTGTGGCCGCTTGTGGACAAAAAAGCGAACGGGGTGTCTGTCGATGGTAACCTAAAAATCGAAATATTTTATAAACTGATCATACAACAGTAATGTTATCAAACAGGATTTACTTAAGACTTCAAATTACGTGCACGCAGGCACTTACTGGACATTTACCGTATTCTTAAAATGCATGCCAAGAAATTTATACTGTCGCAAAGAACAAATGAAGGATGGTCAGAAATATTCAGCGTCTACGCTTTATGTATCAGTTCACGAGTCTTTCCATGAAACGAACAGTTATCAGCAAGCTAAATCTCGCTTTACCACCAGGGAGAATGAGAGTTAAAAAAATTAGGATGGCATGCCACGTCAAAGAATAGATGTGTTTTTTGCAGCCACTAAAGTAATTAATAATCAAACTTAATTAGTAATTATGAATTACTAGCTGAAAAGGCTTTTAACAAAATTGACAATGCAGCGACAACGAGATCTATCTAAGAGCAGAGTATCGTTATATGTTGATACTATTCACCGAAGAATCACGCCTTCAACTTCAGACTAGAAGATTCTTTTAAGCGCACGAATAATAACTAATACGTTAACAAGTGACAAGAAAGTAAACAAGTAAAGGAATAATTGCACAGAACCGTTTAAATCAGCAGGCACCCTTTCAGTGCCGAGAACCATTTTTTCAGAAAACAAGTATGACGAATATGAAATGGAACCCAAACCTTAAAGTAGCGATGATGTAAAAGCAATTTTCTGAATGTCACGAACCCTCAAAACCTATAGATATATATAGACGAATTTTGAAATGTACAGATTTAGGACAACTTGAATGGCTCATTTGTCAAAGAAATGAACATTCTATAGAAAGTCACGTTAGTCAAGTAGATCGTGACTTATGCAGTTCAGCCAGGAGTGCGCCTGACTGACAGCTGAAGTACCGGAGGTTAAAATTTCAGACAGATCGCTTAGCTTTCATCGTTTCAAGGTAAATAAATGAGAACACTACTGAATACAGCG